CCCCCCCCCCGATGACATCCCGGCTTGTGCGCCAACCCCGCGGGCCTTTCATGTGTGCCCTTGTGCTGACCGAACACACTCTCCCTCCCACTGCCCCTCCCTCGACGCCTGCCCCTGTAGCATTCGCTCGCGATTCCATCCGATCGCCAAGCCAGCCTACTCCGGCGGCGTGTCGACCGATTCCCTGCCTAGCAGCACTCCGCTGGACTCCTCCCCCGGGGACCTTCATTCGGCCGGGAGCTCTGCCCTCGGCATGTCCCCGGAGCCGGCCAGCAGCAACCCCTTCGAGTCGGATCCGGGCCCCGCGTCGGCGGCCGGCCGCTCGGGCCCCCCCTCCGGCCTGACCCGGGCCCCGGCGATGGCCCCCGGCGAAGAGCCCTCGGTGGCGCACATGCACGCCATTAACACCCCCTCCCCGGGGTTCGAGCCGCTGCCGGCGGACTTTTCCTCGTCCGTGCCGGACCAGCCGAAGATCCGCGTGTCGGCGCCGACGACGGTGCCCATTGGCGGCGCCGGATCGCCGGAACTCGAGGCGCAAATCCGCGAACTCCGCGAGCAGCTGAGCAATGTCATGCGCGAGCGCGACGAGGTCATCGAGGACTCGCAGCTGCTGGAGCAGCAGCTGTCTCGCCTGCGCGAGCGCCTGGCCGCCGAGTCGGCCCAAGCGCGCTCCGCCATCCCGGAGCTCAACAAGGAGATCGAGCGCCTGCGCGAGAAGAATGGCGCCCTGCAGGAGGAAATCGCCCGGGCGGCCGCGACGCCGGCCCTGTCGCGCTCATCGGACAGCCTGGGCAACGCACAGGCCGCGGCCGCGGCCGCCTCGGCCCTGAGCTTGGTCGAGCAGAAGTCCGGGGAGATTGAGCAGCTCCGCCAGCAGCTGGCCGAGAAGAATGCCGAAATCAGCCGGCTGATGGACGCCACCCAGGAGCGGGACAGCGAAATCGAGCAGATGTCCGACGAGCTGGCCGAGAAGACTCGCGCCCTGAAGGCGGCCCAGCAGAAGCTCCAGGAGAATGAGCGCGCCACCCGGGGCCTGGAGAAGGACGTGGAGGATGCCCGCCGGCAGGCGGACGATCTGCGCCGGAACTTCGACCAGCACAAGCTCCGGTCCAAGGCCGACCAGGATACCGCGCAAACGGCCCTGGCGGCGCAGCTGCAGGCCGCACAGACGGCCCGGCATGATGCCGAGCGCCGGGCCCAGGCCCTCGAGGAGGATCTCGAGCGGTCGGAGCGCGAGGCCGACGAGCAGCTGGCCCAGTTTGAGCAGCGCATTTCCAAGCTCCGGGCCAAGCATCACGACGAGGTGAATGCCCTGCAGGAGGAGCTGGACCGGGTGACCGCGCGCATGCTCCATGCCGAGGAGCAGGCCGCGTCGGCCAGCTCGGCCCTCGGCCTGGCCGATAACCAGGCGGCCCAGGCCGCGGCTCGGGCCCTGGCGGAGTCCGAAAACATGGAGAGCGCCCGGTCGGCGGCCGAGGCGGCTGCCACCACGGCGCAGCAGGCTCGCGCCGATGCCGAAGCCGCGGCCCGTGCCACCACCGAGGCCCGGACCGAGGTGGCCATCCTGCAGCGTGAGCTCCGCGAGGCGGTGCGCGCCCGTGACCAGGCCATCGAGGACCTGGAGGGCGAGCGCCTGGCGGCGCAGGCTGCCCGCCGGGAGGCCGAGCGTGCCCGCAAGTCCGCCGAGGACCACACGGCCACCATCTCCTCCCTGCGCGCCGAGCTGTCGCAGACCCACTCGTCGGCCGAGCTGGCCCTCAAGGAGGCCACGGCCGCGGCCCAGGCATCTGCCCAGCAGATGGTCGAGGACACGCAGGCGTACGCGACCGAGCTCATGGGCGATCTGGTCATGGCCAAGATGTCCCTCGCCGAGACGGAGTACGCTCGGGCCCAGGCCGAGCTGAAGAATCGCTCCATCGCCCGGGACCTGGCCAAGGAGAAGCTCAAATCCATCGAGCTCGGCAAGCGCCTTACCTCGTTGGAGGTTCGGGCGTCTTCGCGCCGGTAAGAAAAGGGGCGCGAAAGGCGTGTATGTGTGTGTGTGTGGGGGGGGGGGGGGGGGGGGCGGGGAGGTCGCGGCGTCGCTCCCCATCGCGCCCGCGCTGTCGTGTACGGCGGGTCTCCCCTCTTTCCCCCGCGGGAGGCCAGGCCCCCCTCCCCCTCTCCCACTCCTCCCTTTCTCCTCCGGCTTGGCTTTCTTGTTCACATTTTCACCTCCAAAATAGAAACTTCACCTTCTTCGTTGGTTTGTTTCAAAGCCGATAGGAACGCGTCCCGTGATCGGGTGGTCGCGTGATGCGGGCGCGTCGGGCCGCATACCACTCCTGCCAAGTTGGGAACCGGCGGGGGGGGCTCCAAGTCATGGACCGGCGTGCAAGGCACACGAGAGGCCGCCCGATCAAGTCATCGATCCTGTGCG